AAAATTAACCTAGGAAGCAAATGAGTGTTGCTGTTCTAATAGCTGACAAATACACTTCAAACCAAATCTATTCAGAAAAGACAAGGTCACTTCACACTGATTAAGGGAACAGCCAATTAGGAAGATGTCACTATTCCCCAAACACAAGTCACCCAATCATATAAAACAGATACCTCTAGAAACAAACACAGGTTAGCCCCAACGTCATAACCAGTACCTTCAGTACCCCACCCCCACCAACACACAGGCTACCCTGACAACAAATAAACACCCGAATTCAACAGCATCCTAGATCAAACAGACCTAACCAACATCTACACAGCTTCCCATCCAACACAGTCTTCTCAACATCCCACAGAACTTTCTCTAAAATACATCACTTAATAGGACACAAAGCAAGTCTTAACAGATACAGGGAAAGTGAAATAATCTCATGTATATTACCTGTCATCGTTGGATAAAACTAGAGCCAACAGCAAGAGAAACCACAGAGCACACACTAACTGAAGGAGACTGAACAACAACAGGAGGAGGTGGTCCTGGAGCTATGGCTCAGCTGATCTGAGCACTGACTGCGCTTTCAGAGCACCAAAGTTTGGTTCCCAGAACCCATGGGGGTGGCTCACCACCAACTCTAACTCCAGCTCCAAGAGATCCAATGGCCTCTTCTGACCTCTGACGACCCTTGTACCCACATATTCACATACCCATACAGAGACACACACATACAGACACAGCATAAAAATCTTATACATAACCCAAATTTTTAAATTACTAGACTAGAATAACATAAATATAATATACCCAAACCTATGACACATGAAGGCATTGTCAAGGTGGGGGTGGGGGCCGAGTAACCACCAGGAGTCAGTATTCTCCTTCCACCTTGTTGAGGCAGTTTCTCTTACTTACTCAAAACTTGAATGTACATCATTGTGTGTGTGTGTCTCTGTGTGTGTGTGTGCCAGAGGACAGCATGAGGGAGTCAGTTCTCTCTTTCCATCACTTGGGTGCAAAGACTGAACTCGGTACACAAACTGACAGCACCCTCTTTGCTCACCGGGCCACCTCACCGAGCCTTTCCTGTTTGTCTCTGTCTTGTGCTACAGGCCAGCTTAGCCTTCAAGCTTGGCCTGATTCCCTTTCTCAGCCTCCCATCTTGATGGGACAATGTCGAGATTACAGATGTGGACTACCACATCTAGCTTTTGATGAGGGTTTCAAGAATTGAACTCAGGTCGTTAGGTTCGCGTGCTAAGTGCATTTCCCTACCGAGCCATCTCCCTGTAACCATGAAATCAGTTCTAAGAGGGAACTGCACACCTACATTTTAAAAATTCAGAGACATCACAAATGATTTTAAAATTCACCTTAAGGTCTTGGAAAAACAAGAATAAGACGAACCTCAGATAACTGGGTGGAAAGTAAGTGAAAGAAACACACTTTGGCCCTGAAACTAGAGCCAAAGAAACATACCCTGACCCTGAAACAGAGCCAAAAAAAAAAAAAAAAAAAAAAACACTTTGGCCTAAAACCAGAACAAATGAAAGAAACAAACCCTGGCCCTGAAACCAGAACCAAAATGTTAAAAAGGGCCAGTGAAAGAAACACACTTTGGTGCTGAAACCTGAGCTAAAGAAACACACTCTGCCCCTGACCAATTTAGCATGAAAACCAACCAAACCCTGAGCAGGAAAACCAACCAATTCCTGAGCATGAAACCAGCCTATCTCTGTGCTTGTTCAAGCTCAGGGATTGAAATCTGACCAATTCCCACCCTGAAAATCTCTGCCCCTAAAAAGCCCTATATAAACCCTGTACCTGTTCAGTTGGGAGCTGCATTTTTCCACCCTGGACACTTCCCTCCCAATAAATCTCTTGAATGAGTTCTGGATGAAGACCTTCTTTCCTAGGAGTTGGCCAGGGTAGAGAAGTAACAATTTTCAACTGAGCAGGTTTTCTCTGCAGGGGTTTCTCCCTTAGCAGAGTGAAGCAGAAGAGTAACAACTTTTCCTAGAGCAGAGAAGCAACGCACATCTCTGCAGGGAAAGCCTCTTAGCAGAGTGGAGCAGAGGAGAGGGGCAGGATTGCTACGTTCCTGTGGGGAAACCATCCCCCAACCAGAACAGAGCTGTAGGTATGGCTTGGCTTTTCCAACATCCAGGATCCCTTTCCCTTCAGGACCATAACACTTACTGTACTTTGGTTTCTGCCCGATTGTGGATGTGGTGTGACCAGCCATTTCAAACTCCTGCCCTGAGACTTCTCTGCAATGACTGGACTTTTTATGTAACCTGGAATTGTAAGCCAAAGAAACATTTCACTCCCCTATGTCGTCCTTCTTCAGGATATTTTTATCAGAGCAACAGAAATGGAACCAGGACACAGCTCAGCGGGTAAAGGCACTTGCCGCCAAGCTTGACCACCTAAATTCAACACTTAGGACCAGCATGGCGGAAGAGCAGACCACAAGTTTGTCCTCTGGCCTCCACATGCACACTGTGGCACAGGCATGTGCACACACACACACACACACACACACACACACAAATATGAAATGGAAGGGGCACAGAAGTGAATAAACTGAAATGAAAAATATAAAGAATCCATGAAATGACAGGATCAACAAATCCTTACCAAAACCAACCAACACACTGAGAGAAACCCTGAATCAACAATATCAGAGACCAAAAGGAACCATTACAAGACACCAATGAAATTCCCATCACCAGCAAAACCTAAAAGAAATGGATAACTTTCTAGAAGTATACAACTAGCCAGTTACATGAAAAGGAGATAAATAATTTAAACAACTATGTAACAAGCATCAATACTGAAGCAGTAAAAATAATTGAAAACAACAACAAAAATCTCCCAACTAAAAAGAGTCCTCTGGTGGTTTGAAGAATGGGCCCCATAGGCTCACATATGTGAATGCTTAGTCAACAAGGAATGGAACTCTTTGAGAGGGCTGGAAGGATTAAGTATGTCCTTATTGGAGCAGGTGTGGTCTTGTTGGTGGAAGAGTGTCTGTCACTAGGGAGTGACAGGCCTAGGCTTGTGAATCAGGATGTAGCACTCTCAGCTACGGCTCCTGCATCTGCCTGCATGCCGCCATGCTCTCGGCCATTATGGTAATGACCTAAGCCTCCAAACTGTCAGCAAGGCCCAGTTAAGTGCTTTATTTTGTAAGAGTTGCTTTGGCCATGGTGTCTCTTCACAGCAAGAGAACAGTGACTAAGACAAGCTCAAACCCAGATCCCAGATAGATTCACTGCAAAATTCTACCAAACCTTTAGGAAAAACTCCCAACATTTCTCAAAGGATTCCATAAAACAACTTTTTAAAAATAAACCCAGTTTGCCCTACTACTAGCACCAAAGACACTACAAAGAAAAGAAAATTATAGACCTATCTCTCTCATGAACACAGACGTAAAAATTCTCAATACAACACTTGCAAGCCAGGCTCAGGGGTTAAGAACATATACTGTTCTTCTAGAGGACCTGGGTTTGATTCCTAGCACCAACATGGCTGCTCACATCCATCTCCAAGTCCAGTTCCAGGGGACCCTCCACCCTCTTCGGGCCTCCCTGAGCAACAGCACGCACTGGCTTACATGCAGGCAAAGCAGTGTGTTGACAAAACATCCATGTTTGTTCCGGCACTGTGCACAACAGCTAAGTTACAGAACTAACCCAGGAGTTCAACGACAGTAGAATAAAGGACATGTGCGTTATGTACACAATGGTTTTGTTTGTTCATTTGTCTAATCATAAAGAATGCAGTTATGCTGTCTACAGGAAAATGGATACTACTGGAAGTATTTGTCTTAAGGGACGTAAGCCAGTCTCAGCGAGACAAATACATGTTTTCCCTCATCTGTGGTTCCTTGGTTTATATAGGTACTTAAAATGACATATACAGACGGCATGAGAGTAGAGGGAACACTGTCTAGAGAAACAAAGGGAATAACAGATCGGAGAGAAGAAGAAAGGCAAGAGGGCATATAAGAGGGAGAATATGCTCCATGGGCATTGTACACTTGTATAATTTGCTTGTGCAAGAAAGTACCATATACAATGAAAACTTTTAAAAAGGAGGGAGCTGATTATTCTGAAAGATTTTAAGATATTTAATAGGGGGGTAGGGATACTGAACATTAAATTAGACAGCTTTGTAAGTTACCATAGAGTTGGTATTTTACATTGAGTGCAATGAAAAGCCATTAGAAGCTTTTATGCCAGAGAGTGACACGACCTGACACACTTTTAAAAAATCACGAGGGCGCAGGGAAGACAGTTCAGTCAGAAAGCTTGCCAGTTACTTGTTGTACAAGCAGGAGGCCTTGAATTCCACCCACAGTAGCAACTGCGGCCAACAATGGCCTGAAATCCCAGAGCTGGGGAGACAGAGACAGAGATGGAACCTTGGGCTCCCGGGTCCACCAGCCTAATGTGTGATCGCCAGGTCCCTAGTGCGCTCGTGCGTGCTCACAATCATAGGGTGGAGAGCGGGAGTATTTTAAAATATTGTATCGAGACATAAAGTTTGGAGGGAGAAGATCGGTTAGGAGACCTTTGCAGGCAAGAGATAACTGTGACTTGTACAAGAAGTGGAGCTGTAGTGGACACAATCAAGATACCGTTCATGGGTAAAGATCTGGATAACTTATGCAGGGAGCAAGGCTAAGCAGAGCAGCTTCGCTCCACAACTAGTTTCCTGCGGTAAACAAAACTGGAGAAAAGAACAACCAACGAACAAGCTCTGCTCCGAACTATAAGAACGGCTTTTATTGATTGCATGCTTACTACGTGCAACTCTGTTGGGAAACTTACAGAAAATGTTTCCATTAAAAATTCCCAACACCGGGCTGGAGAGATGGCTCAGCCGTTAAAGGCTAGGCTCACAACCAACCAAAAATTCCCAACACCGCCAGTGAACGTTTTGCCTTAAGTTTTGTCGAAAACAGGCTCAGAAGTGGGGTGGGGGTGTCTCACCGCTACGAAGCGCTGGAAGCCGAATCTGAACTTAAGTCGGTCTCCGCGGCGGCTTCTCTCTAAGGTACCAGGCCTCTTTTCTACGGACTCGAGACTATTGGTTAACAAGGTTGGACTGGGCGATCCTACCCCTAGGCAAGGCGCCCCCACATACACACGTCGGCCCCGAGCAGCTGCAACGCCCACCCGACCGTGGCTGCAACCTCGGCAATCGCGCGCGCGTCCCGTGCGCACACTACGCAGTTTCCAGACCTGGTAAGTAACCGAGTTAGGACCTCTGGCCAGCAATTGGTCAGGCTCAGAAAGGCGTCCCGCGATTGGCTGGACCCTCGGGGTTCCCCTCGCGGCGCGCCCCTCTCCGCCTCTAAGTTTCTTCCCCCGCGTCGCAGGCACTTCCGGGCGGCGCGCGCCTCTGACGTCTCCGCCCCCCATTGGCCGGCGGCGGCGGCTGCGGTCCCGTGCGCTGACTGGCTGCCCGCGCCGCCTCGGAGGTGAAGTGTACCGCGCCGATTGGCTGCGGGGCGGCGGCCGCGTGTGATGTCCCCGGCGGCGATTGGCCCACGCCTGGCTGCTCGCCGGCTCCGGGGCTCCCGGGAAGTGGCAGCCGAAGAGGAGGGGGCGCGCTAGCTGTCTCGGTGGCCGGGGCCAAGAGAGACCCGGCCTTTGAGGCGGCCTCTCCGGGCCGGAAGGGCTGGTCGCGCGGACGCAGCGGCGCGGGAGGCTGAGAGTGCGGGAACCGGGCGACACCATGGCCCCGCAGAACCTGAGCACCTTCTGCCTGTTGCTGCTGTACCTCATCGGGGCTGTGATGGCCGGGTGAGGCAGGGGCTCCGCGCGGCGCGGGGCCCGCGGGGCGGCCTCTGCTGAGAAGGGGGGGACGCGGGTGGCATCGAGGAATCCGGGCAGTGAGGGAGCCGCACTGCCCGGCCGAGGGACGGAGGAGGGCTAGTGCGGGCCAGGCTGGCCCTTGCGGAGCCAGGTTTCCCCAGAAGAGTCCCGGGAGTTGGTTGCAGAGCCACATTACTACGTGGGGCATTGGGGGGAGTTCGGTGGCTGTGAGCAGAAGTAGGGTCGCGGGACTCGGGGGAAGGAAGGTAGTGAGTGCCGAGCTGGGGTTGAGGCTACAACCACGTCTTTGCCCCGCGCGGGACTCGAGGTAACCACCCAGCTTGCAGCAAGCCTCAGAGGGTCTGACACTAAAGTGGGTGGGCCGTGGTGCCAAGTCAGATGCACGGAAGGAGGCCAAGCTCAGACCGAAGGACACTGGCTTGAGGGAGCAACAACCCTCTTTAGAGAGCTTTCGTCCTTCCCACCTTCTCGGGCTAGCGAGCCTGACCTGTCAACTTGCCTCACTGTCTCTCTCCATGGTTCCTCCTTGAGCTGGGTTAGGTATGACTCGGAAGAGCAGTTCACTAACAGGTAATAAAAAACTGGGATTCTAGCCTCACGCCACTCCTGTGAATCACACAGGCCTGAAGGAACTTTATCAATGTTCTGAAACCGGGGGAGAAACATTGTGCCTCCGTCCAGGGAAAAAGAGCAGACTCTGAGGTTCTCCCAGCATTTAAAAACACACGACCCTAGAGTTCTGATGACTCAGGATGTGGTATAGAAGACTTGTGTTTAGAGTGCCTGCATCCTTAATCCCAGCTTTTGGCGGGTGAAAACAGGTGGATCAGAATTCAAGGTCATCTTCAGCTACAGAGTGAGTTCCAGGCTTGCCTGGCCTACATCTCACCCTATCTCAAGTAAATAAGGAAGCACAAAAAATAATAAAAACACACCCCAGACTAGTAGGTGTCAGATTCTGATAATGTGTAGGTTGTTGCATTACCTCAAATAGCTTTTAAAGTTATTTTCTTTATGTTTTTTACTCTTTGCATATATGCCTAAATTTTGTCATTTTTTTCTTGTGAAATACTTTATAAATTTTTAAAAGTTAACATCTCTTACATATGCTTTATTGTTTTCCCTTAGTTTGGCTAAGCTGTGAGTACCCAAAGTATTTAAGAAAACATCAGCATAAAATTTTGGAGTTGGGAGTTGAGGAACTCAGTATGTAGCTAAGGGCAACCTTGAACTCCTTCATCATCCTTCAGCCTCCACTTCCCACGTGCTAAAATTGCAGGCATGAGTGACATTCCTGGCAAATTCTAATATTTTTTGATATTATAGCTTTAAACTTTAGTGGCTCATAAAGTAGCCTCTGGGGAGTATGTTGACACTGAGCTATACTGGCCATTTTCCGGGGCTGTCATTTAACCTTTTACCTCTTTAAAAAAAAACTTTTACTTATTTCTCTGACAATTTCACACACACAATGTAATCATACCTACCTAATCTCACACACACACACACTCACTCACACACACACACACACCCTGGGCACACCCCAACATGCCCCCCCCCCCCCCCCCCCCCCGCCATCGTGTGACTGACTGAGTCCAGTTAGTTGGTGCTGCCTGCTGGAACGGTGGTGACTAATGGTGTTGGCTTGCTCTCTGTGAAAGTCTTATTCAGGTAGCCATAACTTGCGTGAATTCATGAGTGCCATTTCCAGAAGGTGGGCTTTGACAAGACTCCTCCCCTTCCCCTGCTTTTACATTCTGTCTGCCCCACCTCCCAGTGTTCCCTGAACCTTGGGGACTTGGGGAGAGGCGGGGAAGGTTAAACAGATGTTCCATTTAAGACTGCGCACTCAGCAGTCCATTACCTATTTATTCTCCACGCTTTGACCAATTATGTTGATGCATTAACACTGCCACCTATGGAAAGAAGCCTCTGGGACCAAAGCTGAGAGCCTGTGGATCTATAGATAGGACCTAAATATTTATAAGATATATTATTAATTATATTATAGGTATAACCTAAAAACCACATGTCTATTTAGCAAAACAACGGTAATAGTCTCTTCTTGCCCCAGGGCCTATAACCTCCCTAGCCATAGGCTTTCCAACAGCTTTACCCTACCAGATATGAATTCCCTTCTGTGTAGCAGGCCTCAAATCCAATCAGAAAGCAGTAGGTTAACCCCATAATCTTCACATCACTATTGTACCTGATGTGGGTACATCTTGCCTTTTTGGTCAGTATTAGTAAGTTTTCTCCTCACACAGCCAAATAACCTTCTGGTGTCATGAAAGCTGGCCAGGAGGGAGGAAGTTTTCATGTCGTATCCAGCCTGATTTCTCTATGTCCTGTAACCAAAGTGTGTGTGTCACCAAAAGTAGGGGCTTCCATCTTGGGCATCTAATTGGGCATCTAGTGAGCAATGGCAATAGTCTCTTGTTTGGGGGGCCTCTCTGACTCATAACTCATAGGGAAGTTTCTCACACCCGTCACTGAGACTTTTCACTTCATGATCCATGCCTTCTAAGCGAAACATTGTCCACATGCAGGGTACCTATGTTCAGAATCCTCCATCTGTCTGTCTCTAAGATTTGATTTTTAAGTACATGTACATGCATGAACATGTAAGTACAGGTGCCCACGGAAGCAAGAAAAGGGTGTTGAATTCCTCAGACCTGGAGTTAAAGGTGGCTGTAAATCACCTATCAGGGATGCTGAAAACTGAACTCAACTCCTCTGTAAGAGTAGTACACACTTTAAGATCATGGTGGGGAGGGGGGTAATATGTTTTTTGACTTAGCTAACAAAGCAGTGGCTTTCCATGGTTTGTTTTTGTTAACATCCTTAGTTTTGTTTGCCCCATCCCCCTCCAGAAGCATATTCTTAAGAATATTACTTAAGTAAGCCTCACTCTCTATATAGTTAGCCTTTTCATTGTTATTAAATAGCTGATTCCTTTCTCATGAGATGTCAAGTCTTTACAGATGAGGTAGAGACTTCCTGTGTGTTATAAGTTTTAAAAATGATAAAGTTGAGCTGAGCCTGGTGGCACATGTTTTTTTCCCAGCACTCGGGAGGCAGAATCAGACAGATCTTTGTGAGTTCGAGGCCAGCCTGCTCTACAGAGTGAGTTCCAGGACAGCCAGGCCTACAGGAAGACCTAGTCTCGAAAACAGTTATATAGTTGAGCTGGACATGGCTTATATGCCTGTAAACTTGGCATTGGGAGGTAGAGGCAGGAGGATCAGGAGTTCAAGACAGCCTTCAGATACATAGTGAGTTCAAACCCTGTCTATAAAAACCAACCCCAAACACTGACCGAATGATTAAAATAACTAAATTACTTTTCAAGCATTGTGACTAAGAGTATAAGCTAATCGCAGCCTCCTGAAAGCCTGGGTTATAAGTGTATGCCATCATGAATTCAGGGCTTCATGAATTAGAGGCAAGCACTCTAGTGACTGAGCCACATGCCAGGCCATAAAATACATTTTTTAAGATTCTGTCTTACGTCTTGGTTCCCCAGTTCATTTTGCCCATATATTTTAAGATTACAATCCACACTATGTTAGTGTCCATTGTGTGACTTTTCTAGCCTATTATTGAGATAATGTTTCCAGAATAAATTCTAGTAGCTAAAATTCTGGCAAAAAAAAAAAAAATAGATGCTGTGAGCACTTGTATGCCTTCAGCTCATTCAGGGAGTATTTACTGGTTCTTTGGTGAGCTGGATATGGCCCTTCCCTGCAATGTCTTTTATAGTCTTACTCTAGCTTTCCATTAACACTTCCTACAGAGAACCCTTTTATGGCTGATTCCATTGTACTCCCAGGAAATGTTCTCTACTTTATGTCCCAATTCATATTATATGCGTATTCTCAACTACCAGGATATAGTGTGTGAACTTTAGAGGCTGTCTGACATAAAGACTTGATCTCAGCAAATTAGTGTAGTTACTAGCAATGAATGTATGAAATATATATTTTCCAGCAAAACACACTATGATCCTTACATACAGATGAGTGTTATTCTTCCTTCAGAGTTATTATTTAGACTTTGCTTAGCCTTTTATTTTAACTCCTTAAGTCAGTCCATCTGACTTAATGTTCCCAAAGTGCTACTGTTTGGACTTTTATATGACATAATCTTTGTGGATAAAGATAACTCTCTCTTGATATTATTTGACCTTTGGAAACAGTCTCTGAGGTGGGGCTGGAGAGATGGCTCAGCAGTTGAGGGCACTTGCTGCTCCTACAGAGGACCCCAGCGCCCACATGGTGGTTCACAGGCACCTGTAACTCCAGATCCAGGCGATCTAGCTTTTCTCAACTCCCAGGGTACCTGCACCCACACGTGAACACACAGAGATGTTCATAATTAAAAATAAAATA